AGAAACAGGCCCCCTCCTGGCAGGGAGTTGCAGCGGTCCAGGAGTTCTTGATTTAGGACAAGCTGAATTAGCTTCCGCAAAGACCTGTCCCTCGCCATTAGCTGAAGGGGAGCACAGACAGCTTGGGGAGGGCTGGACTCCTCACATTCCTGTGGGTTTGGCCACAGGATGTTCTTTGAATCCCACAGTTGGCCATGAAATAGGAGCATTGGGTAAATTTGTCTGTGAAATATCTCTGTTCTGAGGTACTGCTTGGAATCTGGTGCTCAGAGTAACAGTGGTGTTGCCACAAGATCAGAGGATGCTGAAAGGGTGGAGAAGCATTTTAGCACTTCGGAGTCTGAAGAATATAAAAGTAAAAACCACCAAAAGCCATCTAGGAGCAACATTGCTAAAAGGTGCTGAGGAGGGGTTAGGGAAACAGTGCAAAGGCTGAGAAAATTTTGCAGGAAAAGCAGCAAGGATAGTTCTATGCCTCTTATTTTTTGGGTTTGTCTTGTTCTCATGTCTTGCAAGAAAACTTGCAAAATATCTCCTGCTGTTGTGGGCTTTGGAGGGCTGCTGAACTGCTTCCCACACCCTCGTGGGTGCACGGCAGCTGGAGATCCAAACCTGTGGGTTGATCAGCTTCGCTCTCCACCGTGCTGCTGGCTGGTTCTTTGGGTATTAGGCTGAACAGAAGGAAGAACTAAAAGATAAAGAAAAGGAGACTGTTGGCACTGCACCAGTTGAAAGGGCTGTGGCTTGTTACCCCTTGCCACTTCATTTCAGTCTGTAGCCGACGAGAAACTGGACTGAATCCACTTTTCATGCCGAGTCTTCTAGGCTCCTCCAGAGCAGGTGCCTGCGAAGCACAATATCGCGCTTTTGGTCGTTAGCTCCGGTCTGCTCGGGATCATTTCTCTGCGTTTTCTTTCTGAATGTGTCTCTCCTCTGGCCAGGTTGTTGCAGGAAGGCGCTGACGTGAACGCGAGGCACAAGCTGGGCTGGACTGCTCTCATGGTGGCCGCTATCAGCAGGAACTCCAGGTATGTTTGTCTCGGCATTACTGACACGTAGCGGGTAAATCACAGCTGCTCCACCTTTTTGTAGAGTCCTACAGAGCTCAGAGAGAGTTTCCATAAAGTTTGGGCAGGTTCGGGCGAGCTAAACCTGGGGGAGCTTTTCACTTTTCCTTTGCCCGATGCGTTGGGTGACAGGTGGAGGTTAGGCTGCTCTGCAATCCCAGAATTGCCTGTCGATTTGGCTGAATTGGCCCTCGATTTTGGCCCTCCGATGGGTCCGTGTCCTTGGGGTGGCATTGTGGAGGGTGTTCTAACACCCCGCCGTCCAAAATAGCTCCCAGAAGAGCTGCCGCGTCCCTCCTGGCCTGGCGGGGCCATGGCTGGGTCTTTCACACTAGGCCTTTCTGAAGCAAAAAAGGCTGAATGCTGGGCCCTCCCTCCTCAGTTCCCATGATGATCGCTGTGGCTTCTTGTAACCTTTTAAAGACACTCTTAAATATATGCAGTCTACAACTAAATTCAATTAGTTTTTTTATTTAAGGAAAAAAGAGAAAAAGAAATCCAATTTTGAAAAACGTGGGACAGACGGGAGAATGAGCTTTGATGTTACAACCTCTCGGGGATGCTTTACTTAGTCACAAGTTCATAAGCAAAAAAGCCTAATTACTTGGGAAAACACAGGATTAAAGCAGCGCACAAAAGCTGAATATCCGCTCTCGGGCGACACGATTCGAATCCATGTGCCGAGTTCGTGTGTGGTGCAAACTTTGATGTGTGCTATGACAAGCTGAAAGTCGTGACCTCCTTGGGGAGCTCCTTAAGACGAGCCCAGAGGTGGGGGCTTGGGGCTGTTTGTTTAACTTTGATGTCCGAGCAGCAACAGGCCCCGTTGTTTGCCCGGCCGCGGAGGGATGGGCCTCGGAGCCTCCCACCTTTCCCAGTGGACAATGGTCAGCAGCGGAGTGTGACGGGTGTTGACCATTCCGAGTGACTGGTGGACCAGAACAGGGCTGCCCCAGTTGCAAAGGCGAAGAGGAGACGGGGAGAAAGGCTGTTCATGGTACAATAATGACCTAAAATCGACTCTAAAATCAGGTAGAAATACTAATGGAAACATCTAGGCGGCAAAAAATGTTCAGCACCCGGGCTGGTCCCTTGTTACAGGCTGGTCGTGTCTTATTTGGGTACCTGGCAAAAAAAAAAAACAAACCACAGGCTTTTAGCTGTGTTGGGCAAATGATGTTTATTTTTCCCACATTTTGGATGAATACTGACTTTAATTGAAAATTAAGAAGTCCTTGAATATCTGAAGGTTATGTGCAGGTCTGTGTCTCCTGTGTCTCCTCCGACAATAGCATGGAAGAGTAGATACTTCGTGGGGGCAGACACGGGCGCAAGCCAGGCTTACTCCTGGTGTAACCACTCTGTTGATCCTGCTGGGTGGGTTTGGCTTTGTAATGTTGGCAGTGGGGTCTCGCTGCTGGCTGGGAGAAGTGTTGATTGAGCTGGAACACAACACAGGGAGGGTTTGAAACCCCTGACAGATCCCAGACATAGCCCACAGGGAGCCGGCAGAGCCGGGTGTTGTTTGTGCGGCCGCTCTGGAAGTGGCGAAGGCAGAGCCTGGGGAGCTGAGGGCTTTGACTCAGTGGCGTGGGTTTGCCTGCAGAATTTTAAATGTTTATTAGCTTTTCCCTCCCAGCAGAGTGCCTGCTGGTTTTCTAGATCTCTTACAACCCTTGTACATACATGAGGTAGGAGCTCAATACGACTTACCCCACTTTGCAGTAGGATGCGGGATTAATTTTCTTCTGAAGCGTGGTCCCTCTGTAAAGAGCGACGATCTAAAATCGCTTCATCCAGCCACAGCAGCTGATTTGGTGGATTATGAGTTGTTACAGCTCTTGGTCCATAGCCCATGGGTCAAGCAGGGGGAGGCGAGCTGGGTCCTTGCCTGGCTCACACGTTGGAGGGGAGGTAGCGAGCGGCTCAGGGACGGGCACGGTGCAGCCGAGCAAGCCTCTGCGCTTACTCTTATCCTGCAGCGAGAGCAGGCTCCTTCAATTTTATTTAACCCACTTGCTCTGTCACCGCTTCTTTTTTGGAGGTTGCTGATACCTGCACAAGCTGCTCAGCCCAGCCTCAGGGGGCTGGGACCTGGGAGCTGTTTTCAGCTTTGAACCTCTAGGCAAAAGTAAGCCTTCAGCCCCAAACTGCTGTCTTCCCAAAGTCGTTTTTCAGAGGACTGTGTTTTCAGTCTCTGCTGTGCTGTTGGAGATTCCTGTGACCTGTCCTTTAGCTCTGTAAAGTTTCCCAATTTTCACAGCCCTCACTCTTCCAATTAGGCAGCTACAGTCCATATGTTTAATTTAATTTCAGAGGCACCACATTAATGATTTCTGTCAGTTGCCATCAGCTACAAGATGAAATCCCGTGTGCTGGGGGGGAAGTTTGGGCTCTGTCTTTCCTTTTTCCAACAAAACAATGAACATTCTCTCCCTCTTGAAAATGTCCTGTGTCCAAAACACACGTGAAGAGGTGCTGTGGTACATCCCTGCTGAGAGCTTTCAGAGGGGAGACAGTTGTGTAGCAGCAGAGCCTTGGCACCTCCCGGCCCCGGGGTGGTTTGGGATCTAGTCCCAGGCTACCAGGACTCCCAGAATCCACTCTGTGGCTTGGAGGAGTTATTTTTTTCCTAGTGTCCCTTACGCTCTGCGTCTCAGCTGGGGCTCTCTCTTGCCCCACAAATAGCCAGCACGTGGTGCCAGCAGGTCAAGCCCCCAAACCTTGCTGTGGTGATAGTTACAAACGTAAAGGAAGCGGCCAAATACTTCAGTTTGGTGTCTGTGTTTTCAAAACACTTTGTTAAGGTAAGTTAGATGCTATAAAAAATGTTAAACGAATGGCGTTCCTTTTATTTATTCTTTTCATTAGCTTATTGCCTTGTTTCAGACCCTGAAGTGCGGATAGATTCATTCTTGGTTCTTTTTTTTATGTGAGAGGGAGTCCAGACCTGAATTGCTCAGCTTTGTGATACTCCAGGTTGTAACTGGGTTGTGGGCTGGACAGATCAGCTGTGACTGCGTTTACATGAGCAAAGGAAGGTTTTACGCTGTAATTCCCATTGCTGGGGGAATTTCCCCTGGCTTTAACATCGCTGATGAAGTGGTGATGGTAGTTTTAGTCTAAGCTTAACAAGGTATAACTGTCACTTTATGTAGGCTGCGACACTGCGTCATAACTCTGCTTTTCTGTCAGGGCCTGAGGAGTAACACAGGCGAGCGAGTGTGCACGTACACACGCACACGTTCCACCTTACTCTTCATTTACATTTTGCAGTCGGAGTGGCTCCTCATCTGCTTTATTTTTAGTCTTTGTAAAAGCCTATTGCTCTTCTGCATTTCCAGACCTACTTTCAAGTGGTTTCTTAATTCTCCCGGAAAGACATCAGTTTTAAAAGGGAGGATTTATAGGCTGTGTGGAAACCACTGCTAGGGGCTTCTTTCCCTTGGCTGCACCTGCTAGCTTTGCACATTTAACATATTTATAGTAATTAAGCTTTTATTAAATGCTTACTGAGAGCTTTGTGGGTTTGGTGCCTTTGTTAAAATAAGCGACCAAGCTATCATAAATTAAAAAGGAAAGCAGTTAGGACCATAGCAGGCCGAGTGCCTGTGCATTTGTGGCGTAGTGACCTTTTCTGCACACAGCTACTCTGTTTTCCGTTGTTCCAGCAGAAATAAACCAGCAGTGAAATACTGAGTCATCCTCTCAGCAGCGAACTGAGGGTGCAGAAGGGGAAACTAAGGCACAGAGCTGCCTGGAAAATGGAATTCCCATGGGATGGGTCTGGGTGGTTCTAAACCATTGGCACCCAGTTCTGGTCCTGTCTCTTCCCATTGATTCCCCACCCCGGGGGGAGGGAGAGGTCAGAGCATGATTTTAGGGGCTTCCAAAGCTGCAGACAGAGCTTGGGTGGTGGGGAGGAGCTGCACCCAGAGGGATGCCCTTCGGGGAGCTGTTAGGCCTCTGCAGGGCTGGGTAAGGGCTGTGGCGGCGGCAGCAGTGCCCCCGTTACACAGCGGAGAGAGAAGAGAGAGAAAATCCCAGAATCATCTTGGTTGGGAAAGCCCTTGCAGCTCCTCTAGTCCAACCATGACCCTCACCCTGACCGTTCCCAACTCCCCCAGATCCCTCAGCGCTGGCTCAGCCCTGACGCAACGTCTCAGCTCCAGCTGGGCACACTGCATGGCGCAGCAAGGTCACTTTTTTCTGGGACAGCGGAGGATGTGGGTGAGAGGGATGGGCACATGCCTGCTTTAAGTCAGTTTGTGCATGTTTTCTCAGGTTTAATAGTCAATCCTCTTCTTCCCATCTTCCCTTTCTCCTCTTTCCTACAGTACTTCTGCCCATCTTCCTCCCCCCTTTTTCCGTACACCCCTTTTTCACACACCCACCTTGTTTTACACACAAGTGAGCCCTTTGTTCTCACCCCAAACGCCTGGAGCAGCTGTGCCTGAATCTTGGGGTGATGCCCTCAGTGAGTCGGAAGGCAGGAGGAGGGACAAGAGAAGGGTACACTTCTGCCCAAAGAGCATTTATTTATTTATTATTCTCTTGGAAACTTGTCCCCATCTGTCCTCACCCATGGGCATTCCTCTGTACAAACTGCTTCACAGTCCCTTAGAGCAGGAAGGGACAACCTTAATGCTCTGTGCTGGTGAATTGTCCCTCCGTGTGCTTTCCAGTGGGTCCTGCTTGTTCATCCATAGAATCACAGACTGATTTGGGTTGGAAGAGACCTCAAAGACCATCCAGTGCCAGCCCTGTTCCATGGGCAGGGCCACCTTCCACCAGCCCAGGTTGCCCAAAGCCCCGTCCAACCTGGCCTTGAACCCTTCCAGGGAGGGGGCAGCCACAGCTTCTCTGGGCAGCCTGTGCCAGGGCCTCACCCCCCTCACAGGGAACAATTTCTGCCTCAGATCTCATCTAAATCTCCCCTCTGTCAGTTTAAAACGATTACC